TGTTCGTGAACAAACGAGAGGAGCAGGAGAAGCTGCTGGTGCTGGAGGGCGGCAGTGCCGTGCTCTCTGCCATCACCTCCACAGAGCGATCTGATGTCACCTGGCTGGGCCCGCAGCAGGCGGCAGTGGCCGGCGAGCGCTGCGAGCTGCGTCGGGACGGCCGCGTGCACAGCCTCATCATCCACAATGTGGCCATGGAGGACGCTGGCACCTACACCTGCCTCTCACCCCACGACCAGATGCAGTTCGACGTGAACGTCCGAGGTGGGCGGCAGGGGGGCAGTGGGGGTGCCCTGGGATCCTCCTGCAGTGGCAGCGAGTGCTGATATGGCAGATTTGTGATATGGGGAGTATCTGATATGTGCAGAGCTGCGGGTGAAGTTCCTGCGCGGGCTGTCGGACGTGCGAGCGCGGCAGGGTGAGCGGGTGGTGCTGTGGTGCGAGCTTTGCAAGGCGCGGGGCGACGTGGTGTGGCGGAAGGACGGGCGGGTGCTGGCGCCTGGCCCCCGCCGACAGATGACGGCAGAAGGACGGGAGCGGTCGCTGGTGCTGAGCCGCGTGGAGCCCGGGGATGCCGGCGAGTACTGCTGCGAGTCCAACGACGACCAGACCCTGGCAACGCTGACGGTGCAGGGTGAGCACAAGGCTTCCCCACCACTTCAGGGACTACTATTCCATGGGGGTGATGGGGATGCTGGCACAGTGATGTCAGGATTGCAGGAATGCTCAGCGTCTCATCATGACAGGGGGTCTCTTATGCTGTGCCCTGACAACCTCGCTGTAGTCCCCAGGGTGGTGGAGATCATCATGGAGCTGCAGAGCCTGACAGTGCTGGAGGGGGAGGATGCTACCTTCAAGTGCCTGGTGTCGCCCGAAGATGTGGCTGTGACATGGCAGCTGAATGGCCAGCCCATGGTCCCCAGTGATCGTCTGCTGGTGACGAGGAGTGGCCTGTGCCATAGCCTCACCCTCCGGCAGTGCCAGACAGGTGATGCAGGCACTGTGACGGCCAATGCCGAAGGGCTGGTGAGCACAGCTCGGCTGAGTGTACAAGGTGAGGGGGAAGGAGAAAGCTGGGGCTCAGTCCAAGGCACAGTCCTGGGGCCAGCTGCTGACCTAGTACACGGGCCATGCAGAGGCACAGGTGCTGTTCGTGCGGAAGCTGCAGGATGTGGTGGCAGAGGAACAGGGGGATGTGTGCCTGGAGGTGGAGGTGAGCCACGAGGCTGCCGAGGTGCAGTGGCTGAAGCAGGGCATCCTCATTCAGCCGAGCAGCAAGTACCTGCTGCGGGAGTCGGGGTGCCGGCGCACCCTCACCATCTGCTGCCTCGGCCCTGCTGACCGCGGCACCTACCGCTGTGAGAGCCTGCATGACCGCACGCAGGCCAAGCTCCACGTGGAATGTGAGTAGCAGGATGGGGATGGAAGGCAACAGAGATGGGCTAGGGACAGGGAAGGCACCCAGCTTCTGTAATGGGAGTATGTGGGCAGAGCTGGTACTTGGGTGGAAGGGGTGGTCAGAGAGGTGACTGCGTGGGCAGGGGTTTAGACGATCATTCCAGCAAGCACAGACTGGGAAGCCAGGGGCTCTGTGGTGCAGCAGACACCTACTCACAGTGATGGGTCCCTCACAGCCCGGAAGGTGTCGATCCGGACACCACTGGCGGATGTGGAGACCTTTGAGAAGGAGACAGCCACCTTTCACCTGGAACTGTCTCATCCTGGCGTGACTGGGGTGTGGACACGGGACGGCATCCGGGTGAAGCCCAGCAGTACATGCCGGATCAGTGCCACAGGCTGCGGGCACAGCCTGACACTGGAGAGGCTTGCACTGGAAGACTCAGGCACTGTCACCTTCACTGCTGACACTCTGCGCTGTAGCGCCCACCTGCGTGTGCGGGGTATGGTCCCTGGGGCAGGCTGGGGGGTGTGTGGCACTGGTGCTGTCTGACCTGCAGCTGATCTGTACTGGGAGACACCAAGCCTGACCTCGGCCACCCTGGGTACTTGTGTCCCCCTGTCCTGGATAGGGGTGACAGTGTGCTGGCAGTGTCCCCCTATCCTCAGGACGAGATGTGAGCTTAGTATTGGGGACACCCATCCAGGGTCTGGGTCCAGAGGCAGCTGGAACACCACTGATGAGTGCTTGCCCATGGGCAGTGCCACTCTCACTCCATGCTAAAATGCCCCAGCCACAGCTACTCTTTCCTGCAGCCCCAAGTCCATGCCTTTGTCCTACCAAGCCTTCCTGTCCTGTGTCCTGCCTCCTCAGAGCCTCCAGTCACTATGGTGAGGGTCCCACGAGACCTGGGGGTCCCAGAGACAGGAGTCGCCAGCTTCGAGTGTGAGCTGTCTCGCCCCAATGCGGAGGTGAAATGGTTCAAGGTGAGGGCTCACCCTAATCTCCTCCAGCAGCACCTGGCCATGTCCTCCTACCTTGCTTTGTCCCCTGGCCACTGCCTTCCCTGCCAGGGCTGCAGACAAAGCAGAGGAGCCAAAGCAGTGGGGTGTGCTGCCTGTTTGCCTCCGTGCAGGATGGACAGGAGCTGCGGCCAGGGCCCAACTGCCGCATCTACTCCGCGGGACGGCGCCGCATCCTGCAGCTGAGCCGCTGCGAGCTGACTGACGCTGGCAGCTACACCTGCGATGCAGGTGACTGCCAGGCCTCTGCCATGCTGCATGTCCAGGGTACGGTCACCCAGCTCCCAGCAGTGTGCACACCCCCAAACCCTATGCTGCCTCCTCCCCTCATCCTTGGCTACCCTGCCACCCTGTCCATTATCTGCAGAGCGCCAGGTCCACATTGTGCAGGAGCTGCAGGACATCCAGGTGCGGGAGGGTGACAACGCAGTCTTCACCTGCGAGGTGTCACATGGGGACGTGAAGGGCGAGTGGTTTCGGGACGGGGAGAAAATCAAGGTCTCCAGCACAGTGAAGATACGGCAAGAAGGTGGGGGTGCAGGTTCCACACCTGTTTTGGGGGCTGGGAAAGGGCAAGTTCAAGCCGGGGGAGTTTGTGTAAACAAAGGGGAGTCCCTGGCCCCTGCTTACTCTGGGTGTGCATTGCTGTCACCTTGAGCCAGCCTCTCCCTCCCCAGGGACCCGGCACTTCCTGCTGTTCTGTGGTGTGCGCCCTGAGGATGAGGGACTAATCCGCTTCACAGCCAGGACAGTCATCTCAGAGGCCAGTCTGCAGGTGGAAGGTACCAGTGCAGGCTGCGTGGTCTGGCTGGGCTCCAGGGCTGGGGTGTACCAGGTCAACTTGTGGTGGCCCGCTCACCCCATGATGCTGACACCTTGCCCCCACCTACCAGCACTGCCAATCCGGATTGTGAAGCCACTGCGGGACAAGACGGTGCTGGCGAGGCACAAGGCGACACTGGAGTGCACCGTGTCCCACGCCCGGGGCCGGGTGCGCTGGCTCCGTGGGGACACTGAGATCTTTGCCGGTGATAAGTATGAGATCTGCAATCTGGACTGCTACCGCACACTTATCATTCACCGTGTGGGCCCTGAGGACGAGGACTCGTACACCTGCGACGCCTTCGACGACCGCTCCACTGCCCGGCTCCTTGTGGAGGGTGAGTGGGCAGCTAGAGGGGCACCACTGGCTGCTGTGCCTTGCAGTGAAGGGACACCAGAACCTGTGTTCCCATCCCCCATTGCTTGCAAGAGTCTGAGTGCTGGGCTGGAGAGAGCAAGTTGGATACAGCACCAGGGGTCTGTTCCTCCTCGTCTGGGATGCACCTTTTGGGTGCCCCACCAACCCTGGCAATACCCCAGCTCACTCTGACTCCCGTTGTTCCCACAGGGAGCTAGAAGCCAGGATGCAGTTCTCAGAGCATGCATGTAGACTGATGGATGCCACTGCTGAGAGATGTAGTCATGCTCCCCCTGGCATGGACAGACACAGGACACCATCCCCAGCCTGCTCCAGCCTCAGGGCTCAGCAATAAACAGCCTTTTTTTCTGACATGGCTTCTTCCACACAGGCGAGCTGGGGTCTCGTTAAGAGAAAAGGTGGTGGCACCACTCTACATCCTGCTCAGCATTCCTGAAAGCCCGGCCCTTTGGGCCCCCCTTCACCCCCGCCCTCTGCTCAGCCCTTGGCTTTGCACGCCAGACTCCGAAAGGCTCTTTACTGTGTGGCCGAGGCCTCAGCAGCGTTTGGCACATTTACAAAAGAGACTGAAAAGGGGGATGGCAGCACAACGCTGCAGGAAGGGGGTGCCTGGCAGAAACATGCAGTTCCTGGGGCAGCGGGGCCAGCTGGGCTGAGCTGGGGGGGCTCCCAAAGCAGACGGCTCCCTGGTCCAGTCTCACCACCATCCTGCCTGCCTGGCCATGGGAAAATCCTGGCTCACTCCGTAATAAGTTAATACAAATCACAGCAAGAGAAATATATACAAGGCGTGAGCCTCTGCCCGCAGCAGTGCTCTGGGCAGGGGCTCCTGCCCTGCCCTGCCCCAGGGTCCCCCCGCCACTATAAAAATCCAGTCGCCAGCAAAATAGCGACGGTCTCTGATACTGCAGGGGTCCCCGCATCCCTGAGGCAGCCCAGCCTTTGCCCAAAGGCTGGAGCCAGTGTCCTGTCTCCCAGCAAAACATTTTGTGGGGGATGCACCCTGCCAGCGCAGCTCTTGCTGGACAGGCACGAATTGCCAGCATAACCTTGGAAACCACCTGGCCATGGCAGTCTCTGCCCCAGGACCACTCTGGTCCAGCTTGGGAAAAAGGAGTGGCGAGCTGCTCTGGGGTGTAGGGAGGGTGGCTAGGGCAAGAGGATCTTCTGAGGAGGCAGGTTTTGGGAAGCACTGCCTGGGATACGCTCTTGGGGACAGGGCACACATGCTCTGGGGATTCCCTGCTGGGAAAAGGGCCATGGGACCTGCTCTTTGAGGAAGGGACATAGGGGACAGGCACTTGGGGAGTTGCTCGGGGTGCAATGGGGTGGGGGCAGGCGTGGGGAGCTGCTCTTGGGAAGCGGGGGGGGAACTCAAATATGGGCAAATGTTAAGATGCAGGATGAGCGTGCCCGGGCCATAGGGTAACGCATAGCAGTGGGGGCTCGGGAACCCACCACCCCAGCAGAGCCACTCGCACTGCACGTCCATGGGTTCTGGTCCTTGGGCTGAGTCCCTGACAAAGGGCTTCCCCAGCACCTTTGGGCCTCACAGGCAGCTGGGGCTTCCCCAGACAAGTCCATGTGTCTCCAAGAAGGGTTTCCATTGGCAGCCCCAAGCCAGATGTGGCCGCTTGGGGCCGAGGACAAAGTCCTGCCTGTCTCAGGGGTTCTGTCAGAACAGGCTGGGGTGCTGGTGTTGCTCGAGGTCACTGGGTTGGCTTATACCCTCACAGCAGGGCCAGAGCCTGTGGTGAGGGGCACGGTGGAGCTGCAGTCATAGTCCAGGTCCACCACGGCATGGGAGCTGGCGATGAGGCTGTTCAGTGATGGTCCTGTCTGCCGCTCTCGGAAACTCTGGATGTAGCTCTGTGAGAGAGGGGGAACAGAAAGTGAGGGGGGCTCTGCTCCTGGAAAACTCCACCCCACCCTACCCTAAATGCTGCTGCAGCCCCACCCGGCCCCCCCTCAAAAACAGGCCGGTGGAATCCCCAGCACTCAGGCCCTCCATTGGCTGGCCACAGAAGGGAGCACAGCCTTATCCCTCCCCTGGGCATTTTGCACCTTGCCTACTGCTTGTTTTTACTATGCCCACAGTGCTCTTTACCAGCAGTTTTCATTTGCTTGCAAAGGCTGAAGTGCTCCATGGTAGTAACAGCTTAGCCCTTCTTGAGTTGCTCAGTCCCTGGGACACCCCAGACTCATCCCTCAAGGAGCTCAGATGTTAGGTGGTGCCTGGGCACCTCTCCATGCCCCAGCCCACCCATATGGAGAAGGAATGGCTGTGGAGACTGGGGGAGATCTCTACCCTGGCTGCGGGACTCACGGGGGAAAGCACGTCCCCATCAAAGCGGCGCACAGGGTTGGGCTTGCGGCGGTAAGCAGGCTCAGGGGGGTGGGCTTTGTGCTGGTGGGGTGGTGGATGGTGGGGTCTCCTCTTCTTTTTCTTCTCCTTTCGGTCTTCCCGCTGCTTGATGCGCATCAGTTGCACACGGCGCTGCTGCCGGCTGATGATCACTGTGGAGCAAAGTGGCCTATGAGCACTGGGGAGCATATCCAAACGATCCCCGCAGCCAAACCAGCACCAAAACTTTGTGCAATCAGGCCTCCCTTGGGTGGTGTGCCACCACAGAGTCCTGAACCCCGTATCTGTATCCTTGTGAACCAGGTGTTAGAAACATCCACCCCAGTCCCCAGGTTCCCAGCTCCTACACTCATCTTATGCTGTGCCCATCTGCCCCACTCTCCACACACCTTCTGTATGGGAGTAGCCCTCGGCTGTGACCTTCCACTGGACTAGGACACCCAGTGTGGTGAGGAGTGGCCAGATGCCCAGGATGACCCAGCTGTACCAGCACACAGGGCGAGCAGGGGCCACCTTGATGCGCTCATAGATGTACTGCACCAGGAGGAAGAGCTCGATGAAGTAGTCGACAGTGACGGTCATGATGGCGCTACCAAAGACGGCGGTGGAGAGGGTGGTGAAGAAGCGCTGCCACTGCAGGGTGAGGACAGCAAAGAGCATCCCTACACCCAAGAGCAGTGCGATGGGGATCCACACCGTTGGTGGGTGGTAGAATTGCTCCATCACCACCAGCGTGGCCACCGCCAGCAGCAGCCCCAGGAGCAGCCCCACCATGAAGAGGCCAACGCTGCGCACCAGCATGGTGACCAGCCCACACAAGACTCCAATGCCCAACCCAATGCCCACTGAGGCCTCCACGCTCAGCTGTGTGTCCAGCACCCTCTCCTTGTAGCACAGCATGAAGATGATGATAGAGCCGAACATCAGCCCCGTCAGGAACATGACAGCCTTGAAGCAGCGGTAGCCTGTGGAGAGACCACCATAGTCAGGGAGTGGATGGCCAGCATCCCCCAGTTCCCCTCTGCCCTCCTTCCCACTTGCCCCACCAGCAGTTGGGCTGGCCTGGCTCACCGAAGAAGCAGTAGATGATGCCAAAAAGGCAGCACATAGCGCACACCACTGAGGGCACCACCTGGTAGCGACGCTCAATTTCCTGCTGGCAGCTGTGCCCCCACTCCTGGCCTGGCTCGTGCGGCAGCAGCTTGAACCGCAGCGTCTGCACAGTTGCAGTCATGGCTCTGGGGACTCCGGGGAGAGGCATCAAAATCTCCACTCCTGCCTCATAGCTGGCCAGCAGAACTGTGTCCCGGCACCCGCCCCACCTGGTGGGAGAGAGACAAGGAGAATGGAGGAACTGGTAGCATATACCTGGCAGCGATCTCACCACTCAGCACCCAGCCACCAGAAATCCTGCTCCGTCCCCCTGCTACGTGAGTAGAGAGGGAGGGAATGGAGGAACAGCCTCATCAGTGGGAGTTCAAACTGTCACCCGGCATGTGGCTGAAGGGATGTGCTGTCCCCAAAGAGCCTGCCTGTATCCCTGGGAGCTTTGTGTCACTTAATAATTTGTCTGTGGCTTCAGTTTTCCTGCCCATGCCTCTCTGGCACCACTTCCCTGTTAGATTAACAGGAGACTTCCACAACTTGGTATTTTCTGCCTGTGAAGAAGTAATTATGCTCAGTAATTAAGTCACCCCTCAGTCTTCTATTTTTATAGGCTAAACAGATTGAGCTCTTTAAGCTTGTACTCCAAGGCATTTTCTCCAATCCTCTAATCATATTTCTGGCTATTTTTCATCTCTGCTCCAGCTCCCACTGTCCTTGTAAAAACAAATTGGGCCTTCACATTAGATCCAGCCCTCCCATGCCAATCCATAGGGCTGGAAGGGCACCAGTTGTAGCTGGCACTGACCCTAACCCAAGGGCTCACCCATAATGCGGCGGCTGTGCCGGTATGCTGAGCAAACAGTTACCGGGCCCCCCGCAGCGCCTACACAGACGGAGGGGTCATAATCCCCTGCAAAGACTGATCCAGCTTCAGTTTAAACCTAATTACAGCATCTGTCTGCCTGCTCCCACCTGGAGCCAGTTCTATCCCCCTTCACTACCCTAGTCCCTTTACAGGCTCCGTTGGTTTAGAATGGGTTTATTGTCACAAATTGTCCCCAGGCCAGCATCACTCCTTCCAAGTGCCAAGTTTATGCGGCCAGTTCAGGACAGCTCACAAAAACAGCGCTCTGGGAAGGAGCTGGGAAGAGGGCAAAGGCTGCAGTCATGGCTTTCTGTTGCCCAGCATATTGCTGTTGCCCAGACGGGCTCCACTGGCATCTCATCCCTTGCCGACAACCTCCTTCCTGCCTTTGGCTGGAGAAGGCAACACTAGCCAGGGCAAATCCCCGTGGGGAAGCCGAGCACAGAGCTAATCCCAAGGAAGCAGGCGGGTAGGGAGCGGGCAGCCAAGCGCTGGGCCCCTCCCTGTTCGAGCCCCCGGGGGGACGCTAAGCAGGATTGGACTTTACCCGCAGAGCCCAGGAGCGAATCTCCGGCCCTGGTGGGGATAGGCGATGGTGTGTGGAGCGAGAGCAGGGCTCTGCCGGCCCGGGGAACCGGGGATGCGGCATGGCACGGCTGGCCGACTGGTGTGGGGATGGCATGGGATGGCATGGGATGACACGGGATGCCGGGCAGGGCCGCGGGCAGCGGTGCGGGCGGCTCGCGGCGCCCATTGGCGCGGGCACTGTTGCTAGGGGAGCCCAGCGCCTGCTCATTGGCGCCGGGACTTACCCACCTGCTGCCGCCCGCCCCGGGCCCCCCGAACCCCCTCCCCTCCCCGCAGGCCACAGCGCGGCGGGGGCCGGGGGTAGCGCCCGGGGCAGAGCCCCGCCGCGGCGCCCGCATCGCCGTCCCCCGGCCGGGCCCCGCTGCCCCCGCCGGGCTGACGGGCCCCGGACCGCCGGGGCGGGCGCGGCGTTGCCGAGCGACGGCCGCAAAGGCCGCCGGGGCGCGGGGCCGCTCCGCCCCTCTCTTTGTTCGGGGCGGGGGTCCCGGGGGCGCTACGCCGGGCCCCCCGCACGCCAATCCTCGGCTCCGCGCTCGCTCCGACGGACGACGGAAGGATCGGGAGCCAGGTGCCCCAGCCCTTCCCCCGAGGGGTCCGGCGCGTCACCCGCCTGCTGGATCCCCTGGTGCTGCCCCCCCTCTGCCGCTCCGCCCGCTCCCACCTGCGCTCCCGGCGCGGCAGCGGCGGCGGCCACGCGGCGCCCGGCGCTCCCGGCGCTCCCGGCGCTCCCGGCCGCGGACCCCGCGCATGGTGGCGGCGCGGCCGCCGCGCGGTGCTGAGCGGACAGCTCCGCTGACGTCACCGCGCCGTCACCGCGCGCAGTGGGCGGGGCCTGGGGGGACGGGGCGGGGCCTCTGCAGGGGGCGGGGCTGAGGTGGGTAAACTGGGGGTGCCCTCGGGTGCGCATTGGGGTGTAAAGTGGAGTGTAAATTATGGGGTGCACTGGTATATGCATTGGGGTGTTAAGTGAGATATAAATTGAGGGTGTACATTGGGGTGTAAAGTAGGGTGTAAATTGGGGGGTGCACTGGAGAGTATATTGGGGTGCACATCAGGATGTGCACCGGAGTGCCATGTCCCGTGCCATGGCGTGTGCCGGGGACTCAGCCCAAGGCTGTGTGTGCAGTGTGGTGCAGTACGCCCCGGGCTGGCCCATACGTGCCATGTGCTCGGCGTGCAGCGGCTGCGAAGGCTGTAAGCCCTTCGGCACAGTGTGCAGGGACAGAGCAGTACAGGTGCAGGGGTGTGGATGTGGGAACTGCAGGGTAATCTTGATGCCCTCGACATGTGCATTTGCCCTCTCTTGAATGCAGGCACTCCAGCCCCCATGGCCCTGGCACAGCTCCTTGTACTCTGCTGTCAGGTCCCATCTGACACTAGAGCAGCTGCCCACCTATCCCCCATGAGCAGATGGGAGATACAGCCATGGCAAGCAGGTGCGGGGACACGGTGCTCTGCAGAGGCAGAGCTCTCTGGAACTGGCACCTCTTGGCTGTAGCGCCTAGGGACCCCCGGGAAATCCTGGCACACAGAAGACTCTTGGCAGCAGCTGCCGTTCCCCCTGGCAGCCCCTTCCCAGCCCCATGCCAACACTGGGGAGACAAAGGCGGGAGCTGCAGCTGGCAGGGGGCTGAGAAGGGGCTGCTGGAGGAACGGCACTGCTGCCTTCCCGCTGCTTCCCTACAGAATCTTCCAAGGCTGCCAGGCATGGGGGCCCTGGGCTCAGCCACTGTCAGGCAAGCTCTGGGGAGTTATGTGCTCTGCCCTCAGCTTCCCATGCATGCTTTCTGAGCTCAGAGTCTGGAAACTTACTTACATTACTTTCTTTGATCTGCACCTCTATCTGAATATAAGTTCAGATCAGCAGGGTCATTTCAGAATGAAACCTCTTGTCACTCACATAAAATGATCAGGATTTGTGTAAGGTGGGTAAAGTTATATATTCCATGAAGGAAAACAAATATATCTTTTTCTAATGCATTTTGCCACGAACAGAAAACAGGATACTTTGGTTTTTTTAATCATCATGGGTTTTTTTTTTACCTCTATGCGTCGAAGATCTCTATTACTTTCTTAACTCTGCACCTTTTTTTCATTCTGGTATCTCCTCATCGCATCACGTTCTCTCTGATTCTAGTTTTTATATGTTCTTCGTTAAACTGCCATCCGTGTGACTGCTTTTGCCTATTGCTTGTTTTGGTCTATTCAAGAGGAAAAAGGCCTGTGAAAAGCAGCTAGGCTTGGATGATGGTCTAGTATCTCAGGGGGGTGGGCTGCTGCCAACCGCTTTCCGATGAAAACAGGCTGCTTTGTTTTAAAAAATGAAAGAGATCCTGGAGCTGAGTGGGTCCCCACGTGCCCTCAGTGACCTGCAGTGCTCTGTGGCTGCTGGTGCTCCCTAGGGCAAGTGGACTGTGTTTCATGGGGAGGGTGGAATGGATTCCCTGCCTAGAGTAAATCCGGAGGCGCTTGAGAGTCTCAACGGTTGCAAGGCTGTGCAAGTGAAGCCATGGGCTGGGAATGGGCAGAAGGGCCAGGACCTGCTTCTTGTCCTTATTCAGCAATGCCTGGCACTGAGCGGACATGTAGGGCTGCTTGCCTTGCAGCTTCTGGGTTGGCTCATTCCTGTGCTGGAAGTGCCGTTTGTGCAGCAAACTCTGCCCTGATACGGCTCCTTCAGCTTTGTCTGTCCCAGGAGCTCTTTCTGGATGCGATGGTGGATCTATGCTGCAAGACAGCTCAGAGTGGAATGGCGACTGGACCTCAGCTGGAGGAGCTGCCTTTGCTCCCGTCTGAAACACATGATCCCAGCGGTCGCTGCTGCTGGGATCTCCTCATGTCTGCCTGCTCTCCTCCTGTCCCAGGATGGTTTGCTTCTGTGCATCCAAAGGTCTTTCAGCCACCGTTTGGTCTCCTGGTGTGCCTGCTGCCCAGGCACCCGGCGTGCCCAGCTGCCTTCTGCAGCCCGCAGCCCGCACTGTGCTGCTCTGACCTCAAACGCTCAGTCCCCACTCTTCCCGCCGACGACTCAGCCACCACCTACACCAAGGGGACAACCCTCGGGCACTGGTTTTGGGAACGCGGCGGTTCAAGCCCACCAAGAATTCACCAGCGCCGTGGTTTGGGCTGTCCCGGGGAGGAGACACACGGCTCCGCGGAAGTCCCCGTGTACCGGGCACAAAAGACGGGGGAAATGCTCCCTAAAGCCCTCTCAGGTGCCGGATGCGCTTTCCGCTCGGTGAGCAGGCAGCCAGGAGCTGCTCTGCCACCCCACAGCGCCGGGGGCGCTCACGGCGGCGCGGGGTGCGGAGTAAGGGCTGCGGAGGAAGGGGCACGAGGTTCGGGGCACGGGGCGCGGACAAGGGGGCGGGGGCACGGACCGGCCCCGCCGCGCCACCCCTGGGCTGGCCGCTACCCCGCGGTTTCCCGGCAACCTGACCCCACCCCCACGCTTGCCCCGCCCCGATTGGCCGCCCCGCCCCGTGACGCAGAGGTTGCAGCGCGGGCCATTGGCCGGGGTGGATGACGCTCGCCGGGGCGGGGCTCGCGGGTGACACGTCGGACGGCGGCGCCGCCAGCGGCAGCGGCAGCCGGCCCCGGTCGCGGTCCCGTCCCGGCCATGCGGCTGTCGCTGGTGTTGTCGGTGCTGCGGCCCGCCGGGCCCGTCGCCATCGGCGTCTCGCTGGGTTTCACCCTCAGCC